CGTGTGCCTGCCGCCTTCGGGGCGAGGATAGAATGAAAGCCCGCGGGCGACCATTGGCAGCGGAATGAAACCTGTCTGTCTGGCTCGGATAAGCCAAGCAGCCAGGCGGAAGAGATAGGGTGGCGATCAATACCGGCCCCCCTCTGTCAACAGTGATCAGGAGCGCAGTGTGTACACTCCTGCCCGACCAGACCAGCACGCGTTGCTACAGGGCCGCTTCATGCCAGTATCGCGGACGAACCGGGGATCAAAATGCGGATGGGAACGTCGCAAAATGATGCATTTCGCAAGCAGCATCCTGGTGCGTACGTGTTTATGCCGAACTGTGTATACATATTCAATGACATCGTGCTTAGAGTCTATTTGCTGCTCGTTATGACCCAGTTAATCTGAGAATTCTGCAGCTGTTCAAATCTGTGTTTCCGGCGGCATTACATGTTCATAGCCGGCGTTCGTGCAGTTGTTTGTAACTGCCTGTCAATGCCCCGATCAGTGGCGCTCAGGCGGTGCAGGCCCCACGTCCGCCACCAGCCGTCCGTCTCCGTCCACTCGTGCAGCGCCGCCACCCGTTAACGCCCGCTCTGACGTCACGCGCCGCGCCGATATCAGCGGCGCGCGAGGCTGCCGCCGCCGCTTGGGGGGCTTCCCGGGTCACTGTGGCCTCACCTTGGCTTTGTTGGACTTCTTCGAGGGGACCAGCGTACCGCGGCCAGGTCTTCAGTGACGCTGAAGAAGAGGTGGTACTGGCGCAGGTTGGGTCTGATCTTGATCAGCGTGCTGCCTGCCACCATTCGCTGCAGGCACTCTTGCACTGTCAACATGGACGCCACTGCTCAGCCGGGGAAAAGGTCACGTACGTGGCTCGAGCGGTTGCCAGGGGAGGGGTGCGGCGTACAAACGGATCGGTGGGGGCACATCCGTTGGGAAGGAGGTGAGGCGGGAGATCAGTTGGTATGTCACCTATCTCTTTCCATACCCATCATTACAAGGCGCGCCTTCACAAATACCCATCACACGGGAAAAATACAGTAAACAAACTGATTGAAATTTGGTGCGCCTATACAGCCTGAGTAGAGTTCCCAGAGAAGGCCGAGATTATGTCCCAGCCCTTACGCACCGCTCATTGCTACTGGTCAGAGAGGGTGGAAAAGCCTCAGGGTTACAACAGAGAATGACCTATCGAGTGCATCCGCAGCCGTACCAAAAAGGGTATTTTTCTACGTAACGTCACGAATAATCTTTGCTGGCTGTGTTTGCAGCTCGACCCGTTTTGCGCATCCACGTACACAAGATTTTCGAGCGGGCAGCTTCCGACTGGCCCACCAGGGGTGACGTCTGCGGTGTCGATATGTACTCCCACAAAAGAGTGTCCACCTGAGATAGTTATCCCCGCTCGGGAAATGCAACGTGGAACGCTGACCGCGTTTCGTCGGATGCTGGGGAAAAGAGAAGAAATCGCTCGCATGTAAACAAATGAAAACAGCCCAGCGGTGAGTTAATCTGCGAGCTGGGTTCGATGCGGCGTGACATTTGTGTTCATCGGCGGTCTTCCATGCATGTGACGCATTGCGGATCCGTACGTCCTGCTGTGGCTCATACACGGTTTCGTAGAAAAGTATTCCATGCAGAGAGCCTCGTCGATTTGGTTCGATGATGAGCCAGTGTCAAACAGATCTTTCACACGTTCAAGCTGCAACCACATAATATTTGACAGCGTCGTGATAGCTTAATAAACTGCCAGCGAAAAGTGGACGATCTGATAAACTTCCATATAGCACGATGTTCTTCATCACTCATCTGTGCTTTAGCGCGTCCAACATCAATAAACATTACACGCACTGTGGCAGGTTAAAAAGCTACGCACAGGTACCTGTTCCTCTTTCCATAACAAAACTGCAGCCCAATGCGCCATCTGATTGAGCCAGCGAATGTCATATTCTAATACGTGTTTACAACCACAGGTGTGCACATCAACTACTCATATTCAAAGTGCATGCCGCGGTGGTCGTTGTAACCCCCGTCCACGCGCTCCCCGTTCCGGTTCGCACCCACAGCACGCGCGATCGACATGTACATTCCACATGTCTGGTTTAGTGACATGGCCGAGAAGAATATCGAGTGCTATGTTTTAAAAATCATCCGCCGGCTGAGCCTCGTGGGGTGTTTTCTCCACAGTCAACTGAGACGAAAGCCAACTGAGACATAACAGTGCAATAGCCGCTGACTACGCCAGGCACAAATCACAACACGTGCCCTGTTCGCTAACGTTGATAGCAAGCGCCTGCGGCCCCAGGGCCCATGCGCTCACGTGATCTCTGGCGGCAGGCGGGCCGAGGAATGAAGGTGGAACGCGCCCATAAGTCGCAGTTTTCAAGCAATCTCCCGCGGTCAACTACACTGCCATCACATTAGCTCCGCGTCGCACGGCGCGCGGCATGAGGCCCCCGAGGGCGTGTTCCGAGCGGCCTGACACCCGCCTCGGGGGAGCTCCGTCTGCAGACAGAACCTCCACTCCTGGAGACCCGCTCCGCGGTGGGGCGTCCCTGTGCCGGTGCTGCGGTTCTGCGGCACCCTGCAGCTGCCGGATATCGCCGCTGTGCGCATCTGGGCGGCTGCAGACGTGTTGCGCCTGCTGCCATAATGGCCACATGTGCTCGTGTTCCTTGGCTACTGCCGCCAGGCGGGTGGCCCGGCCCGGCCTTGGCTTTATCTCGGCCAACAGCCCGGCGACGCGGCCAGCCCGGCTCCAGCCCATCTTCGCCAGAGACACGTGACCGTACAGGCCAATCTCAGGCGCAAGACGTGCAAAGTTTAGTTTGAAAGATTGCCTGCCGCAAGCCCCCGCGAGGCAGGAATGGCAGGTCAGCAGGTCAAATCCGCGGCCGGTTCATGTTTGTACAACAGTCGAGCCCCCACGAGGCAGGAATGGCAGGCCAGCAGCTCAAATCCGCGGCCGGTTCATGTTTGTACAATAGCGCCACTTTTCCGCTGGGTGCGTTGATGCAATGACAGTTTGCCTGAGGTTTCTGAAATGTTCTGAAATGTCTCTGTTGTCCCTTTTGCGACGGCTTGCTTTAGCGGACTAAACAAAAAACAATTTTCACGCGACGTTACCATATGTCGTTGGCGGCGTGTTCAGTGCAGTATCAAGAGCCATATTTTGTCTGACGCACTAGAAATGCCCCACCTGAATCTGCTTCAACTGGCTGCCTCTTACCAGCAGCCCCGCAAGGAGCCGGCTTAAGAAGCTCGTGGGTCTTCGGGCAGTTTTTATTGGCAACGTTGCGAGATTGGGTGGACTGTAACCCGAAGGCTGTGTGTTTATTTCGTTTATTTTCAAGCGCCAACTTATTTGCCACAACTACACGTTAATCTGGTTAGCTCACAATACACAAATTGGCTGACAGTGCATTAGGCTTTAATATTTTAGCCCACAGAAGCATTTGCAAGTTAACTTGCTGGGCACTCAACAACAGCCAAGCCACAAACGCCATGTTCAATGATGCCTATTTGCTCCCATCTGGATGAATGCCTATGTTGAACATCCCAGCTACAAAACCAAGCGTTCTTAAATTTTTGAGATTTCGTGGTTGAAGCAGGCGATGTTTTATTCGCACGCTGCTATCGTTCCTTTATGTGATGTAGACTTAACGCCAATAACCAGTTTTGACAAATGTGCATAGATTCACCGCCATTTAAACAAATCGACAAAGGAATGTTGCCAAAATATCAACGCATTTACACCTCCTTTCTCCCTTTTTCCCGAGGAATGAGGATATGAGTACCGTCAGTATCCATGTGAAAAATGTTCCACGCGAATACACTTAACAACGTATGTGATTTTGAACTGAAGAGTTCGACCTAGTGAAATGGGAGCGAATCCATGCATATTTACCAATACTGGTTATTGGCGTAAGGTCTACATCACTCAGCAAACATTAAGAAGCCATAGCAGCGTGCACGTAAAACATCGCCTTCTCGAACCATGGCTGATCACTTTTGATCTTTAAGTGCATACAATCTAAGCACAGAACTTGCAATTCCCGAGTTTCACTTCGATCCAATGAGGGGGCGAGCCTCGGATGGATTTTACGACCGCATTAGACGTCTCCAATCTCTGACCTCCGTGTCGTTTCGCCGTAATAATCTTTGAACCACTAAGCCAATGATCCTGACGTTTTCAATGCCACAGTTTTAAGCATGTTCACACTAATTG